TACAAAATAAGCTGTGGCGTCCTGAAACGCCATGGACTGCAATTTTTGTTCGTTCTCCACGATAAAATCCAATAGCGCCTTGGGTGCTCCTTCTTTCTGTAGTGCTCTATGTAGGCCTATTTGCATATGAATCGGGTCTGATTTGTGAAATTTTGCATTCTTATACCAATCCAAGATAAACGCATGCAGCTGTATCTTCTGCGGGTTATTCAAATAATAGCTGCCCTGTGGATTAGGTGGCCATTCCTTGGGTGTCCGTTTATCTACAACGTGCGAATTAAACCTTGCAACGAACGAGCTTCTTCGGTGCGCCCCTCAGCTTCTGCTTGCATCATACGTTGGGTGAGAAGGAATACCTGCGTTTTCATCTCTGCCGCAGTAGATTCCGTAATACACGCCTCAGTAGGTGGTGATATCTTACATCGTTTCACATCCTGCGGGTCTTATAGGTAGCGATCGTGGTGAGCAGGAAAGTGCTTACGGTATGCAAGCGTATCGATAGGTACATTTGCACTATCCTGGCAGTTCGCCTTTCTTTCTTCTGGAGATTGCGGACGACGATGCTGTTGTAGTTTGTCCCTGAATAAATTCGCTGCCACTTTGTTGGCGTGAAGGTTTCATCACTCTGCGAAATGCCTCAAAGGACCGTCGCCGATTGTGACAAATTTTGAGGGGTAGCCATGTCCAAATGTAAGTCCGCTGGGTCCAAAAAAAATCTACCAGGTGATTTCACCAAAGTTCTTGATTCTTGATACCAATCCGGACCATCAGCCGGCATCTCATCAGGAGTTGGAATTGTCTGGGCTCGATTTTAAGCGTTCTTCAGCAACCGCTCTCAACGCGTAACATGTATATTCTCGGAAGGAGCCATTTGAGGTACGGGCTTCGTGCAGCCAATCTTGCGTTTCACCGGGCTAATTTGCTTCATGTCGATAGCCTGTCGGTTGGTGTCTACTCTGACTGTGTTGGGTAATGAAGAGCCCAATGTTGTTGCACTGTTGGTTCGGCCTCAGTCTCAGAAAAATCATCATCCACTGTCGTCTGGGCCGTGTCCTGGGGCATAGACGTGTCAATAGCTGTCAGTGACAATTGACGGAGTTGGCGGAGTTGCTCTTGAATGAGGCGACTCTTTTCCTTTGCCTCCTTTACATGCATCAACGTATTCAAGTGTCCTGCTTGATCCGCAATCCATGCTGGGGCTCGGCTAAGCCTACCCAATATCTGGATTGAGTACTGGGCCTCCAAAAGCAAATGGGTCAATTCCAAATGAATTCCCACCTTCTCGTCGTCTTCGGGTGCAGGTTTCTTGGCACGTTCTGTATCCACCTTATCGCATTACTCGGTTAAATGGCGAATCGTTCCAAGCAACCGTTTCAGCAGCTGGTCACAGGCTTGCTTACCCACCGTAGGCAACGGTCTAGTCTCGGGTCCCGTCATTGTTGTAAAAAAAAAAGTAAACTAAATTGCTTCTTAGTTAATTTAACTTTTAAAGAATATAGTATAATAAATACAGTAGTTCGGTCACTTAAAAATGTGGTCAAAACCAAGTAGCACTTAATGAAGAGTGTTAAGTCTGAAATAAGTGAACTCAGTCAGAAGTGCCTTTATGATCGGCGCGTCTGCTATATTTATTATCACGTTCCGACATGAAGCGAGATTTCCTCTAACAACGGGTAATTATGAAAATAATCGGATCTATGGTTTTCGTCTCCTGGTTACTAAATTATGATGACACCGTACGAGTCATCTCTATGGTCGTCGTCTCCAAGTATCTAACTTATGATGACACCGTTTGAGTCATCATTATCAAATATTAAATCCTCTGTCCCAGTATTCAGTCCGGTCCCTCAGCCCGGTACTGTAATATTCTACTCAGGTCCGGTCCTCTGATCCGGTTCTGAAATTCCACTTGTAGGTCGGGCCCTCTGGTCCGGTCCTAAATGTCTGTCCTAAGTACTTTGTCCACAGACACATATGGACCCAAAATTGGGTCCCAGCCCATAGTTAGGGACATCTACCTTAGTTTCCGAATAGTAAACTCAGTTTACAGTCTACTACAACTAAGGTCTAACTATTGAGCCTACTGAATACCTAACTAGGACCAGGGTTAATTTGTCTTTTTTATTTTGTTGACACACTCCCGCAGGTTAGCTATTACCACGATTAGAAGTGACCAATTCTACTTCATGACACACACAATGGTCCCATTTCCACCGACGTTACCTCGTCCCGCGTACGACCTCCAGCGGTGTTCACAGGCAGACAATAGCTCTCTATTATTACGGAACTCTTACGAATATGTTTCGAAGAAGTAATAGGACCTCGCGACGGATGCAGCAAGGATCGATCACTTTATTAAGTCCCTGGATTCACCTATTTAATTGTTGGTGATTGTGAAGCTCGGCTCCGATATCACTGTGGAGGATATAATTCAGTATCTCATTTCCTCCCACCTGACCAAGCGTAAGAACAACTCGGAATTTACGGATATGTTTCGAAGGAGTAATAGGACCTCGCGACGGATGCAGCAAGGATCGATCACTTTGTTAAGTCCCTGGATTCACCGATTTAATTGTCGGTGATTGTGAAGCACGGCTCCGATATCACTGTGGAGTATATAATTCAGTATCTCATTTCCTCCCACCTGACCAAGCGTAAGAACAACTCGGAATTGCTAGAGGAAGCAAAACTCCTAAATTCCTCTTCGCTCTCGGATGCACGAATCATACTGTTGATTATTTCTAATTTTGCGCTTTACGGGGCACTGGGTGGTATTTTCAAAAATCTCTAAGCGACTACTGCCACGTTATGATACGGAAGATGGCATGTTGGTCTCTGCAGCTGAAGGAAATAGTTTGCAGGACTCGTTCTGATTTAGTGAGCTCGTTTCGCTGACCCCTACCCAGGACCATCGATTGCTGTCCTTGGTGGTGCCTAAACACTTGAATGTTGATGACGGATCTAACCAAGACCGTGGCAGCTTAAGTAAATGAATGCGCACAAATAATAGATGTATGTACTACAACCCTTCCCGAGATAACAACAAACAACCACCGCCACCGCCTATGTTCCTCTAATCGACGACACGTCCTTGGCTTACACTCCAAACGGTTCTACCTTGATATATTATGGATACCGAGGATCATATCTCAGCGCAATCGGGTTGAGGCTATACGAGTGAATTTTGATCCATACCCAGAATTGAAGAACAAGATTGAGGAGTGGCTGAAGGACACATACCTACAACCAGACAAAAGTCCATGGGTGGGCCGTTCGTTAAGATACCAGGTTTGGGTTGACAGTTGCGTGGACAACGGAGTGTACTTTATGTAAATGGATCCACTTGCCGCTATGACGATGACTTTGTGTATATAGCAACGGCTCGTTGGCCCCTTAAGCCAGGTACAGAGCATAAGTATACTTGTTTGCATGTGTGAGCGTCATTGTCGGTACCCTGCTATTCTTCTGGAAAGGGTAAACTCTTACCAATCTATGGGCAGCACTTTGGCCGCCAGCGGTTGACGCCTCCTACTCAGGATGCCACTAAGTCAGATTCCATCGATCTTGCAGTACCTTGGCAGTATGTCTCTGCCGACATTGCGAGAGAGGCGGATAAACTGGGGATGTTTTCACACCAGGTACTTCTCCCGATCTCTTTCTTGGATGTCGCAGTACGCAAGCTACTCCTAGGAGTGTGGAATTAGGATTTTGCACAGTTGGTTGTGAGAATTAGAAGAATTGCGATTGGCAATTCTTACCTTTATATTTGCATACTCAAACAAGGATGCAAAAAAAGACACTCCTAACAACCTTAGACGATTGCGGACCTATAAAGCTAGCTACCGACATTGGCAGTCCCGCCAGATCTATCGAACAAATGACCCTGTACTCGAACAGGTGGAAACTGAGAAATACACCCGCAAGCGGCGGATGATAAGTTCCACAAGCCTCGCTGCCTCCAAGAAGGTGTGAAAAATGGCTTCTATGATATGCAGTATTATATGGACAATATGTTTGGGATAATTACAGCGTTTAAGGCGCATTCAGATGATGGAAACCTGGTCACTAAGAAGAAGAAGCGGGAGACCCTACTAGCGGCTCTAAACAACCACTGGGATGATCTTTTCTGTTTGTGCGCATATGCCTTGAAAAGGATATCCAGCTACAACCGCTGAAGTGTCAACTGGGTATTCTCTTCAACGTAGCGGTACAATTCTTCGGCAGAGAGGATATTTTCAACACATCTGATATTCTCCGCACTAGGGCCCAAGCTTTATTCGACTTAACCCGTCAAGGTGTTAACTTCATATGGGAAACCAAACACCAGGTTGCATATGTATACCTGATGCTTGCAATTAGTCTGCGCATTCGACTTTACCAACCACTTCCGTGCCAACGTTTGGTGTTCACTACGGACCTTTCACTTCCCCATATTTATTTTTCACTTCCCCATATTTTTTTTTCCACGACGGACCTTTGACCCACATTTCCGTCTCCGAAACGCAAATCTCGGTGACCCGCAGGTCACCAGTGTAAAACTGACTACCCAATTTCAAAAACCCACAGACCCCACTAATAAGTTCAAAAACCCACAGACCCCACCAATAAAAGTCACATACTAGACCTGGAATGTATATTTTATTTTTATTATATATAAAAATTCAGTTGGGACCCACAGCCACAAATGTTGGGCCAGGCCAAACCCCCAACTAAGTCGTTCGTCACCAAGGGCTCCTTGCCCAATGACCAATGGAAATTGGACTTACAAAAATCTATCACAGACCTCTCTGCCCAGGTCAATACTTTACAGGCCAATCTCAACCAAATGTCAGGACCGGCTCTACCAAACCCGAACAACGATGGGCCCATTTCCAAGAAGCCTCTAGCTGACGACCAATGAAAATCAACCATGCATCAAATGCTCACTAAACTATGTGTCAAGGTGAACAACCTCGAATCCGAACTCCGGGACCTAAACTCCCGAAGCTGTGCACCTCTAAATGAACTCACACCCCACATCATCCGATTCGGCTTCACAAGCCAGCCTGCCCCGCCAGAAAAAAAAGAACGCGGCCGAAAGCAACAGTGAGCCTCCCAGCTACTGCTCAAAAGTGGGCAAAACAGCAAAACCGAGCCCCAAAAAACGTCCGACCGCACGAACTTCTCAACCCCTGTTGCAGCCACCAGTACCCACACACCTTTTGACGAAAGTGATGGGCCGCGCGATGCCGGACAAAACTCTGCACGAAATGGATGACATAACTTCGGTATGGCTCTGCTTTCGGGCAATTTTTCCTAACGGCAAGCCTCCATCCCAATCAGAATTTGAAAATTACTGGCACGCCCAACCGCTCCTCAATCGTCATCACTTCCATTGGTATCTCCCGTCCAAACCGATTTCTCAACAAAATCGCCACTGGAGTTCCATCAGTTTCGTCCGCCTTTGTGTTCCTAGTGACGCTGTTGCCCAGGTGAAACGACATGCAACACTTACGTGGAAATGGCAATTTGATGAATCTATCGACCCACGCTCCAAATATTATCCCGACTCTACGAAAGCAGCTTTAATCCACTATCTTCGTACCAAGCGGGAGGCTCGCTGCACACATGAACGAGCGCCAAAAGTTCTTGCCCGCAGCATGGATGTTCTACTGAACCCCCTTGTCAACTCCACTTGTAACTTATCTCTTTTGAAATAAATAATATCATCCCTATTAACCAGGGAATGGGCGCAGCATTGTTTGTGCAGATTTCAGCAGCAGGGACACCAGAGTATGAAGAGGAAGAACGGGTCATTGCTGAATGTAATGAATACCGCGCGGGACTCGGAGCACTCCTAGATGGCGGAATGAATGACCAGTTCTTCGACGCAGATAAGGTCACTGTGGTTGACGAGTCAGAGGTGTCACCCTCGGAGCTTGCCCCATACCCCAAGGTTTTGCACAACCACTTTTTTTTGTGCAGCCAATAGGTGTGTACCATTTTCCCCTCGTACGCGCGAAGACATTATTGCTGCACAAGATCATGCTATTTAAAAGTACTGGCTCTGTTCCCTGGGACCCATCACAGTGCGATAGCAGCTACTGTTCCTCCTATGAACGTCCAGTGCTCGATGCGTAGCTCTGATGGGCACCTGGTTGACGGCCAATCGCAAGCCCATACACTTGCCTCTAGCGAGCCAATGTTGGACGCGGTGTTAGTCAACTCCTCAACCAGAGACTATACTTGTGGACCCATGCTAGACCAGGACTGGGTGGCACCTCCAATACATGGACGGAGCTATGAATATTGTCGGTATTTCATTTTCATCGTGCTTCCGTGTTAACACGTATTTCGAGTGGATAGTTTTGGTATCAATAAGGACTTGGTCCAAGGTGATAATGTCAGCTAGATTATTTTTGAAGTGTGCTTTGTGTTCAGTATGTTTAGCGGCAAGCTATGATGGCCATTCTAGTGTTCGCTGGGCTTGCTTGATGTTTTTGGGAAGAGTATGGTCGATGGCAGCGGCAGCCTCTAAGATACGATCAGGGGATGGAGAGTTTGGACTTTAGGGTTAAATGTAGTGATAGACACGTCGGAGAAATCAAGATCGACATCGGAAGTGTAATCGTGAGTCGCAGGTAGCAGTGATTCACGGGTGAATGTCGCTAAATTCGTTCAGTGATGTATTGGCTAAATGCTGGGTTGAGAGGCGGGTATTTAGGGCTAGGTAGGGAGTCATTAGGGGGAGAGGGTGGCGATGTGGATGGCGGCGAACAATGAGCGGCGATAGCATCCCATCTCGCGCTGAGTTTGTCGTTCAGTGATTTATTGGCTAAATGCTGGGTTGAGAGGCGGATAATTAGGGCTAGGTAGGGAATCATTAGGGGGAGAGGGTGGCGATGTGGTTGGCGGCGGACGATGAGCGACGATAGGATCATTGATGGTGACGATGGAACGTTTGGCTGCGGCGACTGACTCGCGGAGAGTGTTGCGAGCTGCATAAGGAGTAGTAGGTGGACGTGGGTGGACGCCAAGAGCAATGGCTTAGGGGTTGCAGTAGGAGGAGGACTAGTCAAGGGTGTGTTTCTAGGCTCAGGAACAGGAGGCCGAGGAGCCTGCAAAATAGCGAGTGGGGGAGGTGCGGGTGGTTGAGATGACGATTGAAAAGAAGGTGATAGAGGGGTGCCTACTGGGGGTGGTAGAATTGGGACGCTCGGAGCAGCTGGTGTCTGGTTAGTACGGAGTCGGAACCAATCGGGGGGTATGGTGTAACCAGTGGGGTTGACGGTGAGTGTGGCTCGTTTCCCGGCTGGGTCCCACTAATGAGTTTGGTCGGAAAGAAACTGAACGTCACGTGAGTTGAGGAGCCTGAGTGAGGGAATTATGGATGAGTCAGATGTCAGAATTAGATGCACGGCCCATGAGGACACCGTGGCCAGCTTGTCCGGCATACTTGTTGTTAGAGTGTAAGATGATAGTCTTTGAATAAAGCGTAATTGTATATCTTTATTTACAACCTCACCTTTGGTTTTACACTCAAGGTGTTTGCGCTAGTGTTCAACCGCTTGGGTTGGCCAGGGTGAAAACTCATATGGTCAGTATGAGAAACCTTTTGCAGAACTCTTTAACACTTAGATATTGTTCTATAGCATAATCTCTGCTACTCGCTCTTACGCCGATCAATTAATGTTGCTTGGCTTTCAGAGCAATTCTTTCTTAGGTATCGGCTTTCGGAGCAATGCTCTCATAGGAGCAAAAGTATTATTAAGATGATGTGGTTAATAATTTGATCCGCTTTTCGGAGTGACGTAACTCTTGTGATTTCATTCAAGAAAAAGAGTTTTCTTGCTATTGAAACTTGCTTGAGATCTGTAGTCTCTCACTTGTGACGCTGTTTGAGTGGAGCCCCGTTAGTATCAAATACGACGATACAGCCATAGCGTGCTCTTGGAAAGTGTGGAACAATAGGTTGGTATCATTTATCCGCAGGAGAGTTAAGGATCTCGTTGGAGGGCAAATTCTCGTTGGAGGGCGAATGATGTCTGCAAAAGCTTTGGCTCGGCTCCAGAGAGGGACGGTTGCTTGGAATCGATGAGGAGTGTGCGAGTCAGTTGGTTCAACGTATCGAGAGCACGCTCGACCTTGCCGGCGAGCTGTGGTGTATGTAGTGGTGTGCGGTTGAGAGCCATATCGTGGGCAAGAAGCATCCGGCGGGTCGGCTCACTCTGGAAGGCGCTGTTGCAATCAGCAACGAGTCGTCGATGTTTATAGTGGGAATGTATTTCTACAAGGAGGCCATTCACGTCATTGGTGATACTACGCTTGTAAGGAAAAGCGATATGTAGGCCAAATTTGGTCCCGTCACAGATCATATTCAGAGCATATTTATTACCGTAACGGCCGGGAGGCATGGGCCCCTGCAGATCGATATGGAATTGTTTGGAGGAACCATAGATCGTGTCGATCGTGTGATGGACAATGACTTTACGCCCAAGTTTTCCTTCAGTGCATACTTGGCAGTGTTTTAAAAATGTGGGGTTGGCAGATGAATGTAAGGGACCTGTAATAACCGAGTCCTTCCGATCCGTTTTCAACCCCGATTAACCTTTGGACTGCTGGTCAGAATTGTGAAATAAAAATGCGTCAATGTCTTCGCCTTGACGAGAGCTATCCAAAACTGCAGTAAAATCGGTAAAATGATACATATATATGGTCCTGAGTCAGTACCCAAAATTTAGGGTCATAAATCCCGAATTTGGACATATCTGTTCATCAATTTTTATTTACTGTACTGTAAAACTTTATATGTACATATCTCGCATTCTACCATGCATCCTTTACGATAGGAAACAAGTCTAATTTTCTTAGTTTTCGACTTGAACAAGAAAGAAGGGTGAACCTAACCCAAAAAAAACGTGCGGATGAGAGAAGGTTGGTTTTGGCGGGGTGGGGTAGTGGATGGACAGAAAGTGCGGCAGTTTATGCATGTTTTCGGTATACCACGAGGTGGTATGACAATTGTGGAAGAGCGTGTAAAAAATAAAATGGAATAATGCCCAAGAAGTGGGCGTGCAAGTTAGCAGTCGCTTAACGCGATGATTCGACATGCAATGAATGTAGCAAGTGTTATAGTTTCCCATCGAATGGGCCTGACTTTCAAGTGACTACTTCGCTTTTAGAACAGATTTGTGCAAAGCATGGTATTAGATACGTCTTTTTCCCTAAGTGTCATTGCGAGTGTAATTATATTGAACGCTACTAGAGCTCGGTCAAGAGCTATTGTATAAATAATTGTCTGTATGATAATGAGGGACTGAAACGTGTACTTCTGGATGAATTCGATTCTATACCGCTTGCCAGAAAAATACGTTTTGTTAGACATTCCTACAGATATATACATCTATATTTTAAAGGAATGACCGGTATCCCGAATCATTCAGTGATATTGTAGTTTTTTTTTTCCATGTGGGACAAGTCGTCTGCTGCCAGGTTCAATTTCCCGGGCATGTAGCCGAGGGCCATTGGCCAGAGAATATTCTTCGGATGGCAGAACCAAAATAGACGTCGCAGTTGCGCATTCATCAACGAAGATTGACTCCTGAGCTTCCGGAGGGCGTGTAGAGACGTACTGCTGTCAGTGAGGCACAGGAGAGGCACCAGGCTGATCGTCTGAAGTGTGTGAAAGTGTTCTTAGGCCAAAATGAGCGTCTTCAGCTCCAAGACTGTTATGGGCCACAGGGTCTCCGTATGGCACCATATCCGCTCAAAGTTGTAGGTCGTCTGGTGCCAGTATAGCGGCGCTCCGTAGCCGATCTTGGATGAGTCCGAAGTCAGTTTGGCCTGATGAACGGTAGCCATATTGCTCGCATCTCGAAGGTTGTTATTGATTTGGCCACACACGTTAACTTCTTGAACGAAGCTTCTTTGGAGGTTGGCGAGGAAAGGGCAAAGACTCAATACGGAGAAGGCGCCCCATTGAAAACACCCGCAGTATGTTTGCCATAATCGAGTCTCGATCCTTCGCTAATTCCGCGGGGCCGTAGATGCGATGTTGGCTCACATGGTGAGTAGTTTGGCCTTGAAGGCCGGTGTCATATCGATCGCGTTCTGAATAAGATCAATGATGACACTTAGATGTTGTAATCAGGTTATTGGATACTTCTAAAATCCCTTCCCTAGAGCTACTTCTAATCCCAGTTTGTTCAAAAGTTGGCCGGTACATCACTTGTGGCGGATGATTGTTTTCGGGCGTCCGAGAAGGAGAAGATCGTTTACATACGAGGAACTACATGGGAAAATAACTAAATGTACATACAAAGTTACGGGTAAGTTTTCTAGTTACCCAATCAAATCATCTAAATACGAATTCCAATTCTTTTTTCAAATATATTTTAATGAAAATTTGAAAGTACATATAAAGACTTTATATGTACATTTAATGACTTTCCAGTGATATATTTTTTTTCTAGGATACCAGGGTTCGACACCAGTTCTGAACCTTTTTATAACACAAGGGTTCAACACCAGTTCGGTATTTTACATGGCCGCGTGTTTAACAGTAAATTTGATTTTTCAAAACCAGTCTGTGAAGAATCCTCCACGACAAACAATTACATTCATACAAAAATATATGTCTGTGCACCATTATACTGCTAAGAGCTTGTACACAGAACTACGGCTGTATGTAGATATACTTTGAGCGGTGACACAAGACAATCCAAGCGTAGCGCAGTAGTCTATAAATTGTACAACCTCCAGAAACCAACTGCTAGAAAGCCGAAAGAAAGAATTCGCCAATTATCTATTCGTGGAGGCTCGTCGAGAACACAATGCAGTCTTCACTGATCCAGAAATGTATGTAATTAATAGTGCAGTCCGATTTGTTAATCGTCAATCGATACAATCTTGTTGTATGTTTAGGACTAATCAAGTTGAATAATTTAACCTTTTCAAATCCAAAGGGGCTCCTCTCTTGAGACGCGGATATACAACAGCTATGGTGCTGTTTATTGTCAAATAACTTCTAATGTAGTAGGTATGTAAACAATTTGTCCTTTACTTACCAGTGTAGAAATACGGCCTCCGGTCAGTCTAAAATATCAAGATCAATT